CAGCCGAGCGGCTCAATGGACACTTCATCTCCACTATTGTTGAAAATGGCGGCTATCTGTTTCCAATCCAACGGGGTAATGTGCAGTTCCCCATGGGAGATTGCGGACCACATCGTCTGTACATGAGCGGTACTGAGTGCGATTTGTCCTCAAACCGCAGCGGAACCCAAGCGATATGTCAGAAACCCCACAGGAAAATGTCCAACAGAAAATCCACGTACCTTTTTACTTTATGGCTGCTCGTATGGTTACTGCAGTCCTTACGAACTCTGAAAAGGAAGAGATTTGATGTTGTATGTAAAGTTGAACCACCACAGAATGACAGTCATGATACTGGATCAGCATGCTGTGAGAGGTAAAAGGAATGATCTACACGAATTGAAATGTTAATGAACAATAATGCATTTTCCAAGTTATAATCATAAACAATTTTGCCAACCGTACCAGGTTTGTGTATCATGAGTTCATGATCATGATGAGATATTCTAAGAACAAACCTGGAACAACGATATGTTGAAATCAGCAAAAAATTAAGATATTGCCATGGTCCAATCCCTCATTTCCCCCATAAAGTTACTAACTATTTTCCCCTAAAAAGTACTAAAATCATATCCCTACCACTCCATGTCGTATTATTAACTAAATGGCAACATGATAGCCGTGGATTTTGCTGGTTAAATCTGGACCCGTAAAGTAATATTGGCGGCGCTATAAAGGTTTACACCTGACCCTGACGGACCATCCTACTCTTCCGCGGAGATACATTGACATTTTAAAGAGAAACGAGGAGCAAGTATACAGGGTATACGAGGTATCGTTATATCGATTGGACCCATCATGTAAATATAAGAATATTATATTCAATTTGTTACAATATTATATTGTTGCAAACGACCAAAAAACGTTAACCTTTCGGCTGCAAGGAAAAAAAAATTAAAACGGGACTATCTTGAATTTCTCGCTATCATAATTTATCATAGCGATAATGCTAAAAAAAAGAATCAACTTGCAAAACGTGAATATCATACGATATAGCTGCCTTATTTATATTGTATTATAGTCGTGAATATAGTCGTCAAGAAATATCAAATGTACATATCGATATCACCTGGTACTTTCATTACGCTCTCTTTTACATTTACTGTACTTTTAGGTAAAGATATAAAATAGATTGCTGAGCATTTCAGCACACGTCTTGTTTGCGTCACCCGCAGAAATAAAAAAATGTAATATCCCACGCAGGTGACGCCAAGCTACAGTAAACACACATGGCCATGAAACGATCAATAAACTGGAAGTGGTTAAGCCCCATATAACTCCGCTCTTTATGTTTTGACCTTTGCTATCAACACAACCATTTCCTGGAATAACTACATTTTCCACGGGACTTTGACTTCATTAAATCTCACCTTTGTGCCGTGAATGTAATAATTTGCAAATTACAGCGCGCGACCCCGTGAAAGTCTTTGTTTCTAACAGCCCGAGTCGGTTTAAGTGTGGTATAATAACACGACATCAGGCTATAATCATCTCACATTAACCACACAGAGCGTCGTGAGGACTGACCTTCAGCATGTGCAATGGCTGTATCCGAATTATTTTGACTCAAGCAAAGGGACCCATGGACTGGAACTTATTTCTTTTCCCTGCTTTTACCTGACCCGCGAACAACGCAAGGTCCTCTGGACTTTTTGTTGAGTCAAAATCAGCTAGATTTCAACCAGAGAAGGTCCATAACCAACGTTCAATATTGTAATGATAGTGAGCCACCTGTCTCCGATATGGGGTCAGCTGGGGACGCCTGGGGCTGTCCCTGGGCGGAGGAACTCGTTGGAAATCAATATCCGACCGTTCTCAACACTGAATTTGATTACGTGAAAATATCAAAAGGCCACGGCTAACACAGTGAGTGCCTTAGTCTCTAAACCGGCGATTACAAACTGCCAATATACGAAGAGTATATCCCAAGTGCGGGTAACAAAGATCCATGACAAATGTCAGTAACAGGGAAGCTTACTTCAAGCCATACATGGAAATATCAATGGCCATGGGAATGCTTGAAAATGCAGCTACAACCAGATACCTAACTGGAAAAGTAAGTTTTATTTCAATGAAATCACATATATAACAGTGCAGCCAATTGCAAGCATCAGATATTGCTGGAAAGACAGTCTTTGGAATCAATAGCTTACAACTTTGCAAAGTCGAAAAATCCAGCCTCATCCTAATGCATGGCTGTTGGTCCGCAACAGCGAGCGATATCGACAAGCGAAATGAGATTTTTCGACTCTTACGCAATGAGGAAGTTCAGGATCATTTAACTAACTGTTTTAGCTGTTCACGCCTTAAGTCTATTACCTATTCTTGGAACACGGCTCCTGATACCCACACGTCAGCACATATAGAGGAAAGCAAGCCTAACGGCCGCGTCTGTCCTAATAAATCGTTGCCCTGAGCGCCGGCTTTGATGTCGTTAGCAGAATCATCTTATCAACAATGGCGACAGAATGGAATGCCATAATTTTGTATGCTGTTGTAACATAAGGAATATATCAACTAGAACGCAAACATCTCTTATTGACGAATGCCACCCCTCATATGTGTGCCACAAGGAAGTATTTTGGGCCCATTGCCATTCAGCATACCTTCAACATTGCTTATCTTCTGCATAGCTATTGCATACCTTCAACATTCAACAATGGCGACAGAATGAAATGACATAATTCTGCCATAGGTTCTGGTAACATACAGAGTAGTTGTAGAACTACAACGAAAACATTTTATTGTCGAATACTATCCCTCTTAAGTCTACCACAAGGAAGTATTTTGGGACCATTGTTTTAACATACCTTCAACATTTGCAGAATCATCTAATCGACAGAATGAAATGCCATAATTTTGTAAGCTCTGGTAACATAAAGAATATTTGTTCATCTATAGAGCGCAAACATTTAATTGACGAATACGTATGTGTACCACAAGGAAGTATTTGGGACCATTGTTTTTTCGCATACCTTCAACATGAGGTAGATAGTGGTGTGTGTTCAACTACCATGCACTCCTTTTCGTTAATGCTGAGTGCACAGAAAAAAAAAGCATTTAAAAATCTTTGGTATGATCCAGACGGGGGTTCGGCCCTTGTGTGGCTTTATGTGCATCATGAAATTGAAATTATCGAACATGAATGCCCAAATGTATGCACAGTAGCAGGATTAAGATGGTTAACTGCCCACACTATCACTACCCGCTCACAACCCCAACGTACATCAAGTGTGAGGACAGTGGCGGCCATGTACCTGATAGGTGTTCTCTACTGTATCATCATCTTGGACCCCAGACATACAAAGGGTAGATATCTGTCAAATACATGCACTGATGGGCGTCATCACTGCTTTATCCATGAAATGGTCATATTTTATTTTTTTTTAAATATTGATAAATCTAATAATTGTAAGGATGGATTTGGGGTTTGGACTTGAGTTGTAAAATTAACCCGGGGAAGATGCCACTCTGACTCCAGCACTGGTCAATAGAACGGTTGTTGGTTTAATGATTATCAGTAATGAGGAGGGATATCTAACGATTTCTAACGTACAAATTAGAATAAAATAGGAAACATCCGAATTAATCCATAAAGTTGGTCAGGTGTCAACCTGGAAGCCATGTCCACCGCTTTTTAAAGCTTATTTGTCAACAAAGCATTTACATTTAGATTTGTTGTAAATTACAATACCATTAACATAATAGCGATTTTGAGAGAGAAATGCCGTTTTTAGATTTCCACCCTGTCTTCTGAGGAGATGGGTTCCACAAGTTAACTAGGATACATCTGTACAGCGTTTGACAAGTGATGTGTAGTAAAACTAATATATTTGCTTTTATATCATATTATATTATCTTATATTTCATTTAGTTAATACTAAAATGAGAAGTAGACCCTCTACATTAGCTATGTGTTTTCCGGCTAATATTCTATTCTATATCATATCTCTATGTTGTTACAATCATCGATACTTCGAACATGAGGCAGCGATGGGAAAAACTTATTGACTTGTGATCTGAGCTAAACAAATAAGTATCCTAAAGAATACTATCAAATTTGGTGAGTTTGAAGCTTAAGAACGTACATAGTGTCCGATAACGTCCAATGTTCGCCATGGTTAGATACATGTATGTTAAAAATAAAGGGCACGCCAGTATTCTGTATTCCACAAAGATACATTCACGCTGCCGGTTCGCACGGATTCTCCTCGTGTATATGGGATTTGTTTGGCCCTTCAGCTTCTTATTAGTGAGGGCCGGGGTTGGCAGGGAGCAAATTCTGTGCCGCTGAAGATAACAAGAAGGGCTATTCACCACCACGCTGCAATGAGCGGCAGAAATATCAGCACACGGACAGAATCCTAAATAACCTGACGTTGTCTGTAATTGCGACATCAAAGACGTAATTGGTTTTGCTGGAATTGAGGGATCGGCCGATGTCAATGGTGGTGCGCGCATGCGACACGTGCGCCAAACGTTCGGTAATTTCATATATCTTTATAAGAAACATAAGGAATAACTATCAGTGATATCATAAAATTCTAGGAGTCTACATGAATCGTGATCAAAATTAAGTACCCCTTAAAATGGGCTTATGGATGGACTTCTGTACTTGTTGATGAGTTGCAAGGGTGGCAACACTTTTTATATAAAGAATGAGAATAAATTCAATTACATGTGCATTCAACGTCTCTTTTTTTAGAATGTCACTTAAGCCTGTTGAATCCGTGCCAAACAAAAAATGAAATCCCGATATGCTTCATAGTTAACAGGTACTCAGAAGTTCCATATTGGACGTCCAATGTTCATATGCAGCAGGCATTGCTAGCTGTGGGAAGGACGGCGAATAAGCAATATTTCAGAAGGCAATCGGAATCCACAATGAAGGCCGAATATATGCATAATATATATTATACACACCGTTCTTTATCTGATTGTTGACCGATATTACCAGCCTGACCTATTTATTTAATGTTGCATGAAAAGCGTTTATCTATCACAATAATCAAAACTCCTATGGATATCGCCCCTGATAGCCAAATACTTCATCTTCTCCAGAATATATTATTGGGGAGCTGCATTATAATTCATCGTGGGAGTCAACTTATAGTTCATGGATATCATAGAGTTTTTGTTTACGATGTTTGATGATCTTCATCGTTTTTTGTCACGTTTTATTAAGTTGTAAATCTTTGTTGTTGTTTAAATCGAGCAGTTACAATTTATA